ACAATTTGCTTTTCATACCTTTTTCACCCAATTCAATAATAAAAATTACCATAAGTTGCTTGAAAAAAAACCAAAGTAATATATATATAATTAAAAAAATGATTCTTATCGTTTAAAATTGATCTCTTCATTTTGTCTTTTCTTATAAAAAATCTCATCAAATTATTTTTTACTCTCTTTTATATAACTTGATTTGTTAAAAAAATATAGTTTATTTTTATCTATGTAAAAAATTTGAATAAATTTTGTTTCAATAAATGATCAATCAAAAAATATAATTTAGTTGTTTTATTTGTTTAATTTTTATATAATTAAAATATATCAAAATCAATTTTGTAAGTACTCGTTTTTATTAATTGCAGTCTACGAACTTTAATATGTTTCTTAAAACTTAATTTTTTTTTAAATATTTTTTTAATTTATGTTGTACGCTCTAACCCACCAACTATAGTCTTGATATATATATATATATATATATATATATATATATATATATATATATATATATATATATATATATGTGAGATCATTGGTTTTATTAAAAATTAACTATGCATCTACACATATAACACCAACCATTTACTAATTTTTGTAACACTATAAAATTACTTTCATAATTTTTAATAAGATATTTTTATTTAATTTATTCTTCTTATATTTTTCATGAATTTTGTAGTTAAAAAAACATGACTTGTTCTTTTTGATGCATTCATTCTTAGATAAAAACCTATAATAATCTAAATATAAAATTTTAAAACCATCTTAAAATCATTTTCATAAGATTTTGTCGAAGAAATAAACTGAAAATTAATCTAAAAAATTATATAAAGATTAACAAATGAATATTTTTTATTCTTGTTTAATACCGAAGAGAAGAATAACATTTTAAAAATATGTACATTTGATATATATATATATATATATATATATATATATATATGTTTAGAATATAATCAATAATATTAATACAAAAAATTATATTTGAATTATTAGGTAGTTTTTCTAAAATATTAAAAAAATTAATAGCAAATAATTGGTGTTATTAGTGTTAATGCATAGTTAATTTGACGAGAATTTTCATAAAAAACAACAAATTAAAAAATTAATTTTAAATAATAAGAATAACATAATTTGATACATATGTTTATTCTAAAATATGAAAACATAATATATATATTTTATAATCACCGATCCGTATGAAAAATTGAAAAAAATCATTATTATTTTTTTCATAATTTTTGTATCCAATCCAATAATAAAAAAATGTTAGGAAAAAAATAAATGCCCAAAAAAAACAGAGAGGCGGGCATGTGTGCTTGGTCCATCTAGGGACCAAAATAAATAATAATTGAATTTTCATAATTTGTGTATACAATTCAATAATAAAAAAATTAAAATAAATTGAGAGAAAAAAAAAAAAAGCAAGCATGCGTGCTTGGTCCATTTAGGGACAAAAAACATATTTTGAAAACATCGAAATCAAAATAAAACATGTTAAAATTATATATAAATGTCCAAAAACTCAAAAATCATGAAAATATCATTACATAGTGAAAAATAATGAATATAAGTCTTAGTGAGTAGTACAAATGAATCTCTGTGAATATTTTTTTAAATAATACTAGTAAATAGTAAATTATTATTTTATTTTAGTTCCTTTGTAATAATGTGGTTGAGGAAGAAGCACGTTTTTTTTTTTTTTTAATAAGATGGGATTTCTTTGAGGACAATCCCGTAACATAATAAATATTTAATTTTTTGTTTTTCTATATTTAGGAGAGAAATTCAATTATTTTAGGTTAGTTCCGAAGAGAGAAATTCAATTCGAAATCAAAAGATTTCAACTTAACTAGTAGAAATGAATTCAATTTTAACATAGAATTGTTTCCAAACTGTTAGGAACTTCCATATGTAGCGCATGATATTTCAAAAAAAAAAAGAAGAAGAACAAGAAGAATATTTTATCCTCTCTTTGGCATGACAATTTGCACCATTTGGGTCATTTGATTTTGAAATCTGGGCATCCAACTGCCATTACAATTAGGAATTAATGCGAACTGAAATTGGAAAGCAGCAATCTCTGTTTCTTGGTCTGTTTTTTTTTTTTTTTTGTAACAAGGAAGGTCGTTTGGTGAAAATTCAATATGGTTTACACGTTTAGAAATGACGTCTTGAAAGAAGATACTATTCTGATACATAACTGCTGCATTAGAGCCTAGAAGGTGTTTTAATTTTCCGAGCATAGAAAATTGGTTGCTTGTCATTTAGTATCATAAATTATTACTAAGAAACTAAAAGATACGAGATGTTTATTATTCATTTTTTATTCATCTAGACTCATATTTATTGTGAATTGTGACTCATTGATACTATTCTTTCATGTTTTGCTTCATCGTAGCCGTTCTTGTCTTTTTACAGCTGACTTGTCTTACTCTTTATTGTTAGATTTAGCCATTTTACTGCTATAAATTGTCAATAATTTTAAAACGTTTCTCTTGTAATATATGTGATATTTCTTTTTTGCCTTCACTCTTTCTTTCCTTTCTAAGTCTTTTTTGGTAATTTTATGCTTTTTATCTTTGTAAGTGGTATTTTTCCCGCCTTCAATTTTGTGTGTAATTTCTTTTATGCCATTAATGAGTAAGTGAGGTTACTTTTCCGTCATTCGTTTGTTTCCTCTCTTTTCATAATTTATTGTCCTTTTTCATAACTAAACTCATTCATTTTACGGAGCATTTAATGCTTGCTTTATTTTTCATCAGTAATATTAAAGTTTTTTCATGAGTATTTCTACAATATCTGCTCTTTTTTTTTCATTTTTCATTTTTAATCAAGTTATTTTTACTTTATTTTTTTATGCAATCTTTTGAAAAAAAAAATTGAGGCATTTTTAAAATTTTATAATTAAATTATTATAGGTTTTTATTTAAGAATGAGTGCATAAAAAAATTATGGTTTTTAACTAAAACATTTATGAAAAAAAAGAAAATAAATTAAATACAAATATTTGATTAAAAATTATTAAATTATTTTTATAATGTTTAAAAAATTAATATTAAATAGTTAGTGTTATGTGTGAATGCATATTTAATTTTTAATCAAATAAATGATCTCTATTGTTTTTTTTATATATATATATTATGACCATACTCGGTGGGTCAAAAAGTATAGTACACATCAAAAATATTTTAAAAAATTAAGTTGTAAGGAATATATTGAAGTTGGTCGACTGCAATAAAAACAATGATAAAATTGATTTTAATATATTATAATTATATAAAAAATAAACAAATAAAACACATGAATTTTATTTTTAATTGATTATTTATTGACCAAAACTTATTTGAAAATCTGTACATAAAAAAATAAATTATATTTATTAAAAAATAAAATTATATTAAAGAAAACTAAAAGAACTAAGATGTTTAAACAATGATCACCGTTCATTTACTATAGATTACAATTTTTTAAATTTTTTGTTATTTATTATATATATGAACTAGTGGTTTTGTTAGAAATTAACTATATATCCGCACACATGATACCAATTATTTGTTATTTATTTTTTCATATTCTAAAATTGTTTAAATAACATAATTTAAACAATGTTTTGAAAGAACCTCTTAATTATTCAAATACAAATTTTTATGCTTATATATATATATATCCAATTAGATTCGATTTATATTAATCACTGTAAATAAAACTTCTACTAGCACTACACTATACGAATCGTTAACCCTATATATGTAATGGTTACATGACCGCAACATAACGTGGGTATCTAACTAGTTTATTCTAAACCATTTCCTTTTACTCAACCTAATTAAAAGCTTATGGATATGTGAAGTTAGCATGTGAAAATGGTTTTATTGTATTTCTCTAGTAAAAACTCATTAGGTAAAAAATAAAAATAAAAATTTTAGATTTCCAACTTAAACAATTTGCCGTAACGTTTTAAATTAACAGTCATTCGATCAAAATAGTTTTAAGATAATATTAGAGAATAATTCAATTTAAAGTTTAAATCCTTAAGTAAGATTACTATATATATATATATATATATATACAACTTTATGAATCTATATATAGAGAGAAAGAGACAAATAGAAATAGTTGACTTGACATTTAATATATTTCTATGCACAAAAAAATTAATAACCAGCTATCGGGGTGTTGTATTTGTTCAGGGATGTTGTTGTCATACTGTATCTGTTCATGAATGTTAGTACATAATTAGAGCTCAAATTTATAGAAACGTGGCACTTGAAATGATGATTTTTCGATAGCCTATATTTACATGTTTTTTGGATCTACAAAGCTTTGATCCTTAATTAATTACAACAATAGGCACGGTTCATAACTACTAATTAATTAGCTGTAAGTATTAATTTGGTTCAAAAGAACAACAGAATCCGTAATTAACCTCATCTCGATGACGAGAATTTTCGAAAAGCAAATAACTTTGGCTTATAGAAAATTATTGGTGTGAAAGCATAACTCTCATAATTGATGGAAAATGCCTATTCTTCTATTCCTTTTGAGCTCCATACCTCTTGGAAGGAAAGAAGACACTGATGTTAGTTGTGCTGCAACTCGATCATTAACAAAAATAAAATCAAGTTTTATAAAATTGAATCAAATTAAGCACCCGCAGGAGTCCTTTAATAGCGGAAAACATTCGATTGTGGAGTGAAAAGAAGAAAAATTGAATGCATGATATTTAAATTCACCAATACAGTCGTGGAAAATAACAACATATATTATAGTGAATTCAATCATTCACTAGTCCAATATAGATCTCTAAGTCACTTCTCACACAAATCTGCATGTTGTTAAATCTAGACAATCACGTACACATATATCTTGACTTACAAAACCAAGTCCTGTACGTACGACTATGAATAACATGGAGGATAGGAAATTATATAAAAGAAATTTAAATTGAAGGAAAAGAAAAGAAAAAGAATACGATAGCCTTTACAAAATGAATTAGTTTACTACTCATCCGAACCTGTTAATTCCTTAACCATTATCTGCATGACCTTCACTCTCAGTTGTAAAGACAAAATATAATCAGCTGTTTCTCTGAAAAGCCCATCCAATCCCATGGATTCACTATCAGGAACGAGTTTCTTCAGGGTTCTAACTCTTCTCTCAATACCATAACCTGCCCTTCTATTAGAACCTTCTACCCGTGCCCTTCTCTTCATCAAAATCCTTCTAGGTCTCTTGCTCCTGGCATGTCGTCCATGTTTTTGTTTCTTCGTTGGGCATCTTCTCTTGGGTTGTGCTTCCATGACTTTTTTCCACAAAGATTCATTTGACTTGTCCACCATTTCTTCGTTTCCTTCGACCATACCCTTCAAAGAAACCAGAAGAGGATGTTCACCTGCTGAAACTCCCATTACTGAAAAAGTTTTGAATGAAGCACTAACTTTTGTGCAGTACACCTTCCAAATTTAGTTGTGAAGACGAAGACGTTGTATAACATATGCCACAACTGAGGGCACTTATATATGGTACTTAGGCATGGGTAATTGGTTAGCCAAATGAGGATAATGGAAATAAATTAAGGGAGACAAAATGTAGGGACCACAAAACACAATTTCGTAGAAGGACTCCAAGGGAATGGGATAGTAAATGAAAAGGCCAGGAAGAGCCAAGTGTACCTAAGGGTTTGCTTTGGTCATGTTATCCAGCTCAATGCACATGCAACCACATGATTCTTCACCACCACCCAACTCTCTAATCTAAACAACCATCTATCATAGCACCCTCCCATCTCATCAAAACACCCTGGATTATTCCTCCCCTACTTTTCAAATTCAATGCATAATATATACAATTTTGAACTTGGGGTCATTAATATTCTTATTTCCAGCTCAAAAAACATGGCATTCTACATATATAAACCTCAAGGTTCATGGTGGTTATTTAGCTCTTGTTTCCAATCAGGAAAACCCTATATTATTAAACTATATAAGCATTTGAAGAGCCTGTGATTAATTAAAAATTCCAAACTACTTTGTCAATACTTGTGTTAACAAATGTGGACAATTTAGATCCTAATGTTGGGATAAGGTAGATTTTCTTCTGACATTCATGAACCCCATTTTCCATCAAAATGATGATTGTTTTATTAAGGATTTTATCAGCAAATCATGTTCTGACATGTCTGGTTCGAAGTACACCAACACAAACTTAACCGAGACAATCTGAAAGACAAAAATGCATGCATCTTAATAGCTGACACTACGGAGGACATTAATTACAAGCTTCAAGATTCTTTAATTTCCTCATCTATAAGATTGGTATTGTACTTTGATCCAATTTCTGACTCATTTAAGTGAGTGTGATTTGACTTCCTTGCAGCGATAATAGATCAGTACGCACCATAAGGTCAACCAATAAACCATGCATCCTCCGATGTATATATTTAGGAAAACATCCCCACCTTTAGGTGGACTGGATGTACCAATGCTCTTTAAAAAGAGCACGTCTCAGGTTCGAAACTGGGATGGGTTGAGTGGAAATTGGGTTTTGTAGCCACCAGGCTAGATGGCAAAAATAATTTCTGTATATACGTATATATATATCAGGCTTAACTGGACTAGGAGACTATATATTGAATTAAATCAATAGTGGGTTTCCACTTCTTAATTTGTGCTGCAAGTAATGAACGAACAGGTAGGCAGCAATATTACGTAGGATGTTGTCTTCTTGTCATCCAGTTGTTGGTACATGTTCGCTTTCTTTATGTTCGGTAGATAAACTTATGATGCAAAACAAACAAATCTATGACGGCTAGACACATGGATTTATCCATAGCCTCGTAGTCTGCATTATTGCTTGATTTTTTTCTAAAACTTTGCGACCCAATTATAAACCATAGAATACGTGCTATTTTTTATGCGAAGCACCAAACACATATAAGGGTGCAACATTTTTGTTTTATCATTTTATTCCTTTTTTTTTTTTTTTTAGTCTTAAATTAGCCGATTAGCTTGTTGCAAATTAAATGCATCCTCTCGCATGGTTATTTAGCATCCTGAGAGTACCGAGTTGGACTTATGCTTTTACAAAAATGAACTTAATTCTGCCATGTTGAAATCAAACAGTAAGATAATGATATATCTTGGTGTTTTTCTCAGCAATTTAACATTTTTTATTCCAAGTAAAAAAAAATCATATTTATTTTTTTTAATCAAACAATAAAAATTTGAACTTTGATTACCTCAATTTTTGGTAAATTATATTTAGCATGAGGTAACTAATATATATATATATATATATATAATTAGCGTACTCTTCAAGTCTTGTTAGTTCACCCGTTTATTAAGATAAAAATACATTTTTTATGATTTCTTAACAAATTTAATATTTTTAATTAATGGATTTTGAGCACCATAATATTTCATAAATATTCAGCTTTAGAAATTATTTAAATTTAAATGCTTTCTATAACAATCTTCATTTCCATTCGAACGTGAAGTGATGAAACCCTAACTTCTTTTAGCACATGCAAAGAACCTAATTGGACCAACTACCCACGTGCAACGGAAAGATCATCAAGGGAGAAGAAGCCCTACTAAGAGCTTGTGGGCCTTGTGGCCCATTTCACACACTTTTCTTCATCTCATGATTGAATAAGAGCATGCCACGTTCACCATGTGCCTATCATCTGTTTTATAAAATGGCACCTTATTTTATTTTCAACCAGTATTTTCCCTAATTAGTTAAATAGCATGGATTTATTAAATACAGAAACTGTAGGGCAGCTGCATATGCATAGGTGGCCCATAAAAGGTGAGTTCTACCTTGTGCACAATAATTTCTTCCATGTTCAGCCATATAAGCAAACTATATTTTTGTTTCTATAGATTCATCATCTACTTGTATGGTTTAAAACATTTCAACGATATCCTTATAGTTTCCAAAAATATCAGTTCTGGTCTTGATAATCAAGGATGAGCGTCACTCCTTTTTTTTTTTTTTTTTTTTTTTTGTTAGGGGGGAGGGGATTGGGTTTTTCTGGGTATTTTTGTGACATGTCATCCCATGTTGAGAGGATAAAACGAGAGAGAATAAGAAAAAAAGGATAAAAAAAGTAAGCATTCCATTGAATTTTTTTGGAGATTACAAGGTAATTTGGGAAATTCGAAACTGCAGGGGTAGAGGTAAAGCGTTGGTGAGTTTATAGGGATAAAAATGAAATTTACCCAACTAATAGCAATTTGTTTGCCTGTTTTGTTTGAAGAAGGGAGGTTGGTTTGTGCAATCCTTTTTGGGACTTCAAAGTTCAGATTAATCTGAGTTGGTCTCATTTGTCACAGTTAGCCCAGTTGCTTTTCTGTAGGTTCGGCTAAACATGAAACTTTGGACCCATTTTTTTTATTTAGAGATAAACTGTTAGGCCTATTTGTACAGACTGTAGCCTTTAGTTAAGTTTGTGTTTAAAAAATGGCCAATTTGTTTACGGGCCTGTTCGGCCCGGCCATGCTGTGTTTGTCCTCTCATTACTGTGTCAGCGTGTTGTGTTATGTTTATTGTATATGTTGTGGTGTGAAGCAAAGTATTTAAAATTTTGACAATAAACTGATGTTGTGTTGTGCGTAATTTATTTTTGTGTTATTTAAATTAAAATATTTTAAAAAAATAAATTTATTGTAAGATTTTTAATATCTAAATTAATAAAAATACTAACGTTAATATTTTAAGTTTGAAATGTCTCATTAATTTAATATAATTTCGATACTCGTATCTGTTTTAATTTAAGGACTGACTTATTTATATATTTCATATCATGAATAGAATGTAACAAGATAAAAATGTTTATTATTAATATTTTTTATAAAAAATAAATACAAGTTTGCTTTTGATAAAAATTATAGTATTTATATTTGTGGATATAAGATTTAGAATATTTAATAATAATAGTAATATTTGAAGTATTTAAATGGATGTCAAGGTAAATATGTACTATTGATAATTTGTAAGTTGCAACTTAGAAAAAAAAAGCTATTTTTTTCTCTAAAAGAATAAATATCATTTCATGTTAGAGATTTTTTTAATATGTCTTAATATAAGTGGAGTCATTTCTCTCTTTCTAAAGCTAAGCAATAGAGTTTAAAGTTGCTTAACATTTATTTGAAACTTTCAACTCTTTTGTTTTTCTTTTAAAAAAAACTATAAAAGTTAAAATAAAATAAAATAAAATAAAGAGTCAAATAAGTTCATCATCTCAACATTTGAGATATTATCTTTTAAAGTTATAACAAATAAAAATATTACACTAGCCATTAAATCAGTAGAATGAATCTTAATAAATTCGATGATTTTGTATAGAAAAAGAAAAATCGCGCGAGCTTCATAAGAATATTTAATAATCTTATTAATTAAAATTGATTTAATAATGTTGTTGAATTTCTATTGATACATTCGAAATGTTATCCAGACAAAAAGAAAATCGTATATCGAATCGAGATCGTTTCTTTACATGAGGATGAGGTTTGCCTGAAATAAATTCCACATGAACCGTGCTTTGGAAAGTTACAGCAATTGCTTTATAAGTCAACAAATTACAGACGATTTATAAAAAGCAAGAGGCATATGGAATACTTTTTGATAAATTTTCCCGCAATGAACTAAAATGTTTCCAGCTATTCATTGGTGGGGTATTCACCGTAAGTTATTTATTTGTTTATTGAGACTAGATATTTCGAAGAAATTGAGGAGTGAGCGTTAGTTAACGGTGAAAATCAACTCCTCCTCGCCTTTCTCATATTATATTAATAATTTTATTTTTTTTGGCCTTTTGTGTAGAAACTTTTAGAAACGTCATCGAAGGCGCGCAGATGGGTTATAGATTTTACTAAGTCATTTCTCGCTTCTTTCTTTTAGTTCTCCTGGAAAAAAAATCCTAATCGCCGTCGGTGATTTTTTCATACGTGGCAGTTCTTTATCTCCCCTCATCCCCCCCCCCCTGCGAGCCTTTTTTTTTAATATGTTAATATTTTAAATCTAGATTACAGATTTAGATTTGATTTATACACAAAATTACCATTTTAGAACAAAATTTTGATATGTCTTTGTTTTTTGTTGATTAAAAAAATAGATGTTTTTAATAATTTTGGACAATTAAGAGTTTTCTTTCGTTAATTTTATGGTGATGTTAGTTTTAAATGTACATGTGATGCATAAAAATACATTTCATTTTGAACAATTTCATCCATAAGTTTGAATAAATTTTTATTAATATTCATAAAAAAACTATTTATTAATTGAAAAATTATTATTTACCATTGTTAAAAAAAGATTTATTTAATTTTCTTAATGTATCGGTTTCAAATATCTTCTTAACTTTTAGTATCATTCCATTACAAAAAGGGTTTTACATATATCGAGATTTTATATAATTTAAATTTTTTTTATTGAGATCTTAAATTTTTTTCGATCTAACTTAAGAATTTTACTTTTATATTGTTGTTGTTTCATACCTTGACTAATGATAACTTACCATGTGTGTATTTTAGTCAATAATAACTTGTTATATTACCAATTCAATTATCCAATCCGAACCCATAATGACACATGATAAGTTGTTATTGGTTAAAACTTACCATGTATGTTTACATGACGCATTAGAATTTGAAATAACAATAATATAAAAGTAAAATTTTTAAATTTAAATAGGAAAAACTTAAGGTTTTAATAAAAAAAATTCAAATTGTATCAGGTTTTATATGTACAAAAAACCATTACAAGAATAATGACGTATATGTTTAATTTTTGTAGTGTACATATAAGCAGAAATTGAGTTGACATCCTAAATCAGACGGTGATATTCTTCCCTCGGCGTAGTACATCATAAGCTAACCACCTTGATAGTCGAGAAAAATAGGGCATCACAAAATCTATCCCATCTCCTAAATTGTAATAGCCTTTGAAACCGTCCCTTCATCCCTCATCTCTTTTTTCTTCTCACTGTTCTATCATGCCTATAAACTTTCAGAAGGAAGAGGCATATCTCAGGTTTGTGCGTGGATCTAATATAAATAAATTCCCATCAAACACAAATTTAAATACTACAGTATTAGATTCACGCACAAACTCGTAATCTGTCTTTTTCAATTTCTTTCCTTTTATCTTTCCAGCAGGCCGGCCGCCACTTTTCTTCCATGGATTTCTGTCTCTTCTGTTTCACATCTTAATGTCATTTGGCGCTGCCTGCTTCCAGATCATCTCTTATTCAAGTAATTCTCTATTTTACTATTTTTTTTGTCCATTCTGTTTTTATTCCATTTTATCGATGTATCTCTCTGTCTCTTTCTTGGATTTCTTAATTTAGGTTGATTCTTTATAAATTATCATCAATAGAAAAACATGATTCGGAAGTCGGGCTCTTCTTGCGTTCCCAGTTTGGTATGTGGATCGAGCTGCTCCCAAATTATCTAACAAGTTCGCCATTTTTTTACTGTTTCTTTTTTCGTCTAATTTAAAGGATTCAATTGCGTAATTCTCTGTAAAAGCTTGTATAAAAGTCTGGATTGATTATTCCATTTCAATTTCTACGTGAATGAATTATGTTATTCCGAAAAGCCCATTGGTGATAATGTTCTCTTAAGAAGAAGAAAAGTGAAGAAAGTAGAAAAAAGTTCTCTGCTTATTGAACCATTACAGTTAGTTACATTCAATCTTTATATACTCTCTACAGCTAACACGCTCCTATTAAATCTACTATATTATCTACCTAACTATAAAGTCATAAATATCCTTCCAATACTCTCTTTTAAGTTGGGGGTTTATACATGTGATAAACACTCAATTTGAATAGAAGATATTGATGATGCTTGCTACTAAGACCTTTAGTAAAGATGTCTCTTATTTTGTTCTTCTATCTTGACATTTATGGTCTTGATCAATCCATCTTTAAGCTTTTTCCTAACTAAGTGACAATTAATGTCGATATGTTTAGTTCTCTTCTGAAAAATTGAGTTTGAAGCAATGCGTAATGCAGTTTTATTGTCACATTTCATTTGTTGCTTTTATTTCTGCAACTCCTAACTCTTTTAACAATCCAACAAGCCAAACCACTTCATATGTAGCTGAGGCCATGACTCTGTATTCAACTTCAGCTGTATTCAACTTCAGCGGATGATCTAGAGATAGTATTGTGGTTCTTTGTTTTCCAAAATAAAAGAGATATATCAAGAAATACATAAAAACCAATTAAAGATTTCTTTGTCATAAGACAACAAGCTCGATCATATTTAACAACCCTTAGTATTGAATTCATATGAGAAATCTTTACTTAATGCGTAAATTGCTTAGAATCTGCACAACATAGTATATGTATGGCCTAGTAACCAGCCTTTGATATTCTATATGAGCATTCAGAATTGAATGAACTTTACCATTAACTGCCTTATCAAACCATATTGTAATCAGTTTTAAATTCTACTCTAGTGGCATCTCTACTAGTTTTGAACCAATCAGACTTGCATCGTGTAACAATTTCATGGTGTACTTCCTATGATTAAGACATATCTCTTGCTTCGATAAAAAGTCTTATGTAAAAAGAATTTCAACTCATTTATAGCCTTTATGTCATCACCTATAATCAGAATATCATCCACATAACTCAATAAAACTACCATCTTCCCATTCTTCCTTTTAAGGAGCATAGAATAATCATGTTTAGATTGAAAAAAACCAACAAGTATCATATTTTTAATAATTTTGAATTCCATTGCCTTGAAGCTTGTTTCGGATTATAAAGAGATTTAAGCAATTTACATATTGGACCATCCCCCTATTACTAAATATCGGTGGCAAACTCATGCAAACTTCCTCATGAAGATCCTCTTGTAAGAAAGCATTAGTAGCATCCATTTGGTGCAATTGCCAACAATGTATAGTAGCTAAAGCAATAATAATTATGACAGCTTATGATCTTGACTATTGGAGACAATGTACTATTGTAATCAATGCTTTTTTATTAATTATACTCGTTAACCACTAACTTGGCTTTTTTCCCTCCACACTTTCATCAAAATTAAACTTCATTTTGTAAAGCCATTTACACATTATAGATTTTTTCCTAACTTGTAAGGTACTAAAGTCTCGTGTCTTGTTTAACTCAAAAGCTTGGATTTTTTATTTTATAGCATCTACCTATTTGGGGTTCTTAATAGCTTTTAGATACGATGTAGGCTCTCGAACGGAAGAAATAGAAGATAGAAAAGCCATATGAGATGATGAGGGTTAACACTTAATTTTTGCTCCTATTTTTTTTTATTGCAAAAACATTAAAAAAAAATTACAATAAAAAAATGATGATAAACAAAACAAAAGTGCCAAGTATAAAAAAAAAATTCAATTTGGATAATTAGTTTAGTTTAGTTCTAGGAGGGGGTTATTAAAAAAAAAAAAAAAAAAAAAAGAAAGTTTGGAAATAAAAAAAGAATAATTGAGGGTACAATTAAAAAATTAAAATTTTTATTCTTTAACTAAATAAAGAAAGGTCACAATTGAAAAAATTAAAAAGAAAAGTCTTAATTAAGTGAGATTTAAGGGTCTCATCAAAACAAATAATTAAATTAGACTTAAATTGATAGATTGTAGAGAATCGAAGGCCAAAACAAATTTTGCCAAAAAACCTAGAAAACACATAAAATCTTGCATTTTTTTTTTGTATAAAGCACTATTCACTATTGCAATCGACTTATTCTTTCACAACAAAAAAAATCGACCTAAAACTTTCCTTCATAGCAATCCCTTTCTTTCATCTTTTTCATTGCGAAAAAACCTCCCCTCGCAAGCCCCCCACAACATCCCTCTCTCGCCCCATAGCCGACCACTTTCTCGCGAGCACCCTCGACTATAGCCCCCAAAAACAATCCTCTCTCACCCCATGCCTGACCACCCTTTTGTAAGCACCCTCGTCCATAGCCTCCACAGTAACCCCTCACATCGCCCGCAACTCCTAACCTTACCACGTGCGCTCCAGCTCCACCTATAACAAACCACGAGCTAGCATTGGCCTCCCATGCCGAGCCTACCCCATAGTGTCAGCCACGTACCATATAGACAACCACCCACACATGCCTTATAACCCTTACGCTTGCCGACCTTCGCTTGTAGCATCCGCAGCTAGCCACATGTTTGCTCGAGCTCGAAGTAGCTCTGCAGCCTAGCTACCTCCTCGCTCCGACCTAACGTAACCTTATAGCCACAATCCTTCATCTTCTTCTCCATCAATCGTAACAAATAAAAGCAAAAGAAGGTAGCCATACTTCCTCCTTCTCCATCTTTGATGACCTCTCTCTCACCCGAAACTTCTCCTTCTCTACACCATAGTCGACCACCCTCATAAAGTCTCTCCTATAGCCAAAAAACTCACTCATCCGAAACTTTACTTATTGCTCGATTACCACGCCATCCTCTCCTTTGCTCGAAGCAGTCACACACTAGCTAGAATAGCATCGAAATGGTAAGAGACTTGGATTATGGAGCTTTCATGGCTAAATTTGTGATTGAAACAACCTCTCTATCATATCATCAACCATCACATGTCCTTACTTTTGCAATTAAAGACATATTTAATGTGGAGAGATATTTGACTGGATTTGGTAATCTTGATCGGGCAAAGACTCATTATGGTGCTACATCAACTCCTCACATTGTTTTGACTGTTTTAAATAGAGGAGCCATATGTTTTGGTAAAACCATCATGGATGCTTACAATATAAATGGAGAATATATACATCACAACACACCTATAAATCCATATGTTCCCGATTGTGTACTCGAAGGATCTTCAAATGGATCTCGTTGTTGTAGTTGGCATAACACTTATAGGCTTCTCCTAGGAGTTGACACTAGAGGAAGTATAAGAGTCCCTATATCGTATTGTGAAATTTTAGGGTTTCGATCTCCGTAAGTGTGTTCTTAGTGTCGGAGTTATTCCTATGGTATAAAATTTTGATAATGTCGGGATGGTTTGCTAGGGACCCCGTTATTTTGATTCGGGTTAGACACATTCCGCTTCGATTGCTTTTTATGAATCTTATCAAACCTGGTTAAATCATTATTGCAAAAGATTATTTTTGGCTTTCAAGCATTCCAAATGATCGATTTGGTCAAGTTCTAATGAAATCGGCGAAGAAGATATGTCGAGATCGTATTGTGAAGCATGTGGTCCTCGAGGACTATGTCAAGGATAAATTTTTAAGTCCGAAACATTTTATGAGTATAAAAAAAGAACAACAATATAATATTCCATCTTTGGCGACCTCTCAAATGCCATACGTTCACTTAAAAGGTATGAACTCAAGGATAACCACGATGAATAAGTCACTACAAGTCAAACCTAATTTGGGTTTAGGAATATCGAAAGGGTATGGGAAGTTGCTACAACAACGGGAGAAAACATTGATGTCCGTCGCTCTGTAAAGACCAAACTAAATGCTACCTTTTGTAACTCTCATTCGGGATTTTGGTATTCTAACTATCCCTACTCGTTCCAAGGCCTTCGACGAAACTACAAACGGATCCAACGGAACCGAAAAACTTTCGAGCTAAAGCTTTTAGCTTGCTGTTTATTGCTGGAGTATCGGGATTCCGCTAAGAAATGTTATGAATTTTAAGGAAACTTTACAAATTTACAGCAATTTTGGCGATAATAATAACCTCGATCATTTGCATGAACCTCGAAAAGGTTTTCGATCACTCCGGTGGGACTTGTATCATGTTTTGTCAACAAGCAATTGCTCTCTTTTCTCAACTAATTGAATAATTAATTATCATCGAGGACAAAGAGAGTAAAACTAACTTTGAATCAAACACATGAACTATAGAATTTTTGAGTAAAAATTCCAAAATCACTACACTCCTAAAAAATAAGGATTAATAATAATTGGATTACTTGAAAATATGAATGAAACTATTGCATTTTATGTATATCCATGGTTTAAATGTGATTGAGGCAAATATTGCTATAATGGCTATGAAAGGATAAACAACATTGTTTTACTATTTTACACTTATATGCCTAAATGTGAAGTTTGTAATGGTTTTCATAATTTGATTGACTTATTGTGCCTAATTACAATGTTGAAATGAAGTCGTCGGTAACTTCTTACTCATGTGATGAAGTCATTAATAGCTTTGAAAGATTTTATATAGTGTCCGCATTGTCTGAAAGGAAGTTATCATTGGTTCCCCACCTATGTGGCGAAGTCGCCGGTGGCTTTCAAAACAGAATCCGCTCTTTGCTCAAGCCAAATAAGGTGGTCGATAATTTTTCAATTGTGTGACAAAGTTATCGACGACCTCTCAAATTCGTGACTTGAAGTCGTTGGTGGCTTCCTACTAATATCGGTGACGTCACTAGTAACTTGTTCTCATGCCTATAAAAGGCTATATATTTTTAAAAATTCACATATTTTGATAATAGGTCGTGTTCATTAATGACTAGTCAAAATTTCAACTCCCCAACCTTTCTCCCTTTAGGTAGGGAGTATTGACCTTAGACCGACCTAGACCTTCAAACTACCTTGTTTTACACTTGAACTACTTTATTTTACATCCGTACCACCTCGTTTTTTATTTTTTTATAAAATAAACTCATTTAAATAGGCATAAAAATATAACTTAGTAAAAACTAGATTTTTATATTCATAGGCAAACAATATAGCCTATCTTAGGTAGGACGGGATGACGATGATATTATATCTTTCTTATAAGTAATCGATCATTTATCCGGATATTTATATGGACTAGTATGTTTAGGGTTTTCTTGTTCTTCGCGATTAGCTAGGTGGCAACTCCTTGATCGCCCTTCACCGAGGTCGACATCGACAATGAGATATAGTGATAGAAAATAAAATTAGTAATAGAATATTTAAAGTTAGGAGATAAGTAAGTGCGAGTTGAAATTATACAAGGTATGATAAGAAAATCTTTAGACCAAATAAGAAGTTGTTGCATTTTTGTAGATCTCCTAGGAGATACCATAATGGTAGGATTTGAGGAAGTATGAGGTGATGAAACAAAATGAAAAAATGTGTGTTATCATTAGAGATGATATAGGAATGAAGGGATATAGATTATGACTCGTTATAAAGAAGAATGAGGTTGAAGAATAGGAGAATGTATGATTGAATTTAGAACGAAGACTCTAGAAAAACAGATGTATCATTATCATCATCATACATCCATTGAGTAACGAGTATTAGGAAAACATTTGGCTTGAGATGAAAGTCATGGAAGAAAAGAAGAATGATATGGAAACAAGACATTCCTTGAAACAAAAATTTTCTTAGTATCTAAGTCTATAACTTTGCATCCTTTTATGAGTAAGGATACCTAAAAAATACAAAGTTGTGAACCTAGGAGCAAACTTATCATGATATGGCAAGATTTTGACATAACACAAGATCCAAAAACTCTAAAATGAGAAAAAAACAAAAGGTTTTTGAAATAAAATTTCAAAAGGAGTTTTTTCATATAGGAGAGGTGTAGGATTTTATGTATGATGTATGTAAAGGTTAAAATACAATCTCCCTAGAATTGAGTTGAAACATTAGATTGAAACATAATTGCTTTTGTAATATCGAGAATATGCCTATGTTTTGTCCTCACAACATCATTTTGTTGTGGAGTGTAAGTAATAGTAGTGTCATGCAAAATGCCTTCAAAAGAGAAAAGAGTTTGACAAATATTTTGAAGAAATTCAGAACTTCTATCCGATCCGACTTTTCAAACTTAACTAGAAATATGTGTATGAATAAAAGCAAAAGTTTTTTTGAAGCAATCGAAGTACTTGATACTTGTTTTGCGTAATAAATGTCTAAGTACTTATACAAAACATTTACAATTGATTAAAAAATATTTCTTTATTGTAGGTTGGATGCTTATATGGACTCCATATATCCACATTTATGGGCTCAAAAATTGAATGAGTAATAGACGAGTTATGAGGAAAAAATAATCTAGCTTGTTTTGTAAGGGGACAGATTTTACGAAAAGAATCATAAGCTAATGGTACTATAATACCGGGGAGTAAATTGAGTCTAGAAAAAAATACATGACTAAATTTTTTATGCCAAAAGGCTATTTTTACAAGACAAATTATCTTTATTACAAAGAGTCTCATAAAGATTTAAAAATTTTGTACTAAAACATAGAGTTTGGATTACAAGAATTATTGAAATGATTTGCATGAAATTTTTTTCCAAGAGTATATGGAGATTCTAAGGAAGATGATACAAAGCAAGACAAAGCTACGGTTGGGATGAATGTAAATGTATGTGGCAAGACATGGTAGAGACCATTTTTTACTTTACCAATCTCTTTTATGCTCCCAATCCAAAGGTCTTGAAAGAGGCAAAAGTGAGGGTAAAAACATGACAAATAATTATTGTCAATAGTGAGTTTAGCTATTAACAACAAATTGAATTTGAATTCGAGCAAGTATAAGACATCTTGTAGAGAGAATTTTTGGAAAGTGATAGATCCTCCACGAGTAATTAGGTTCATATTGCCATTAAGTAACCTTACGGTGAGACTAGATGGTAATTTTTAGGATTATCCAAGCAACTAAGTCTACCAGTTATATGAACATTAGTCTTTGTATCAAATATCCGATCATCATCATTAGCAAATTCCATATTAATAAGGTTACAAATGCTACAAACAATCTAGCAAATAGTGGTGGATGTTTCCATTGCTATATGTCAAAAATCTATCATTATATACAATTAGTGATGGATTAGAGATAATATAAATTTCGCCATTAATATCGTCGTCGCTAGTTCCTTAACGGCCAAAATTTTTTCTATTACTAAATTTTTCTAAAACAATCGTTAGTGAGGTCTTATATCCATTGCCATTCCATCATTATTTTCATTCATATCCATCACTAAACAGAGTGACGAAACTAGTGTCTCTAAATCATAGTCGCTCGTAACATCATGATTCCATCATTATTTAGTGATCCTATATATCTCCATTGCTAAATATCCCGGCAATTTCATCGCAAAATCCATCGCTAAATGAAAGGTTTTTTTTTAATCGATAACCGTATATTGCTAATTATAATAATAAACAACACCTTATTAAAATACAATATATTATTTAATAAAATTAAAATTATATACATTAAAATAAAATAAATATATAAATGTGTTATGATGTACAACAATATCAAAAAAAAATTTAAAAGCAAAAAATTTAGTCATCATTATCACCGTCCCCTCCATCATTTTTTAGTTGTTGGACGTTGAGATGAATGGCCGACTCTTGGGGGTTATGGGAGGGTTAACAAGAGAGATGCGAGACTATTGGAGGTTTTATAACTATCTCATCAATAGTCATATATTGCTAATTATAATTATAAATAATACTTATTTAAAAATGGTATATTATTTAATAAAAGTAAATTATATCCATTAAAATAAAATAAATATATAAATGTTACTAAAAATAAATATAGAAATGTGTTATGATGTACAAAAATATCAAAAAAAATTAGTTCTCATTATTACCATCTCTTCCATACCTTTGATTCTCTCTTGGTACTAAGAAAAAATCTCCGAGATATTATCATTAGGATACCGCAAAGTGGTATAGGAGGAGCCGGCGTTAAGATAAGAGTAACACTAGCATGCATAAGTTTCGATGTCATAAACTATCGGCTTCTTCTCCCCTTTGGCAATATCTAAATATATCTTAGACATGTCGGTATCTAGAGACGATGAATCATCCTCCTATCGCTCCTTAGTAGCCACTTCTTACATTGACTACACGCGCTCCTATATCATTGAAATAATTATAATATATATATATATATATATATATATATATATATATATATATATATATATATATATATATATATATATAAGATGAAAAAAATACAAAAATTAATCTATAATACATTGGAAATATAGGATTTACGAAATGCTCAAGCATGTTCAATTAAAGAGACGGATCCTTCAATATGCTTGGACGGCTAGCACCAACACCATCCATCTTCGACATGCGATTTTGAGATGCTTCGCCGAGATCAAGCTTGATACTCGAAGTGGCCCAATCCTAGAACCATGCTTTCCACACCTTTTTTTAATAAACACGGATCTATTACTCTTATGCTTCGACTTGCGAAGCATGTTGTTGTACTCGCCTCCGTGCCGGACTCTCCTACGTATTCTTAATCGGTGCGTCAACGATCGCATCCTATAAAAAGTACTTCTACTTGAAGAAAAAAATAATATTAGTACTTTTTATATTAAATTAACACTTTAAATGAAATATAAGTAAATAATTAATATGTTACTCTAAAATCATTAAAGTAGAAGTCTTTTGTCTCCGTAAAAATAGACTTCCATGTGGAGCCAACAACGTCCAATCGCTCCTCGAGAATTATGGTAATTTTTGTAGAGCACTTCATT